TGGAACCTCAAGATCCTCACGGACAGCACGCAACCTGAAGGAGGCATCTGCAAGTATACATGCATGGAGCGTCTCCATCATGTCACTACTAGGCGAGGGGCCGATGACTGGTCCTTGGCTGATTTCGTGGCTGACGCGGTTTCGTCGAACCCGGAGCCGGCACGCACTGCGCGGGTCCTGCTGCCGCCCATGGCTAACCTGCCGGAGCCACAGATTGTTGTCACGGCCCGAGCGGTACCAATCGGCCACCTTGTGGTCCCAGTGGACCTGCGCAGGCTTGGTGGTAAAATCTGCTGCATGGCTGTTCGACCTGGCATGGAGGCTACCGAGCTTATCAGCGAGGTGTGGACGGCCCCCGGACCACGCCTTGCAAGCAGACCAGGCACAGGCTCTCTTCCTTCAGGATCCTTTGGGGCGCGTCTGGGATCGGATGCCAGCCGACCTGGAGACTGTGGGGTGGTTGCAGCTTCAGGTCGACCACACCCGCCTGCCTGCGGATCCACTGCTCAGGGGTGCACCTCCGGATAACCCTTTCGCGGCACAGGACACCACTTCCACTACTACCGAGATGTTGCCGCTCGTGTCCCAGGGATCGCAGGTTATCTTCGTGCTGACGGGCTGTGGAGCTACTGTGCGTTCTCAGCCGCAGAGCATTGCCACGGTGAATGTGCAGCAAAATGTGCAGGAGCTGGTGCAGGCTCACGTACTGCAAGGCACGATTCCGCCAGGAGCCAGGTTACAGCTTGTCTCTGCCTGCCCCATGTCGCGCATCGCCGGGGTCACCATTGTGCCTCTGTTATGCTTTCCGGATGATATGCCAGTCCGGGGCTAACCGGGTCCTTTCCGTTATGGAACCGGGTCCTAGGATTTATATTGCTGACATGAGTGACATGTAAGAACACGTGTATATAGGACATGTGTTGCTGACATGATGGACATGTAAGAACACGTGTATATAGGACACGTGTTGCTGACATGATGGACATGCAAGAACACGTGTGATGGACATGTAAGAACACGTGTATATAGGACACTTGTTGCTGACATGATGGAAATGTCAGAACACGTGTATATAGGACACGTAAAGCAACATGTCTGATGTCGTGCTGAAGGGGGGGGGGCAGGACGGAAAACAAATGCAACTACTGCAGCAACATTGGGCCTACGTCATGTGTGTTCTTGTTGCTCTATGGAAAGAGCGAGATGCTGGACATGTATAAAAAGATGTGTGCTTGTGGCTCAATAGAAAAATCAATGCCTGAAAAACTTGGTTTGTTCGAAATGTGAAAACATGTACATCGAAGAATCAAAGCCATACTGACATAATTGCCTGTCCCAAGTTTTGTAGTTCACATGGAATTTCTTTGTTGCAAGATATTTTTGAAGTTATTTTGAAGATTCGTTTGTTCCGAGCAAACCAAACAAATGCAACTTGGTGTTCTTGTGGCTCAACGAAAACAAGAAGCTTGAGATTTTGTGTTCTGAAACCCTAAAGTCAGCTTTTTGTACGATTCACAACGACTTGAAAATTAGTGTGTGTGTGTTCATGATTAAACATGAAGGGAATCTAAGCTTTCGTAACGTCCAGCTCATGCCCTAAACCCTGGACCCTAAACTGTAATCCCACCCAACCCCCAAACCCGCCCACCCACTCCTGCCGGTAGGTATAGATAAGTAGATAGGCAGGAGGGAGGTACTTGTAGGTCTAGGTGCACCGGCAGGCTTCCAGGTCTCTAGATAGCTAGGTAGGCGGGCATGTAGGTAAGGAGGCATTGATAAGGAAAGAAGTTTAAAGGTAGCAGGCAAAAGTAGTTGTAATTAGGCATTCGCGCAGGCTCTGTCAGGATGTCAGGTCGCCACATCAGAGGTCTTCGGAGCCCCGTGCAGGGGCGTACCCGCACCAAGCCCTTGAAGGGGCTGCGGGATGAACCCCGAATAGGGGTGAGCTTGGACCCCGAACAGGGGTCGTCGGAGCCCCCTACAGGGGTGTGGATGAACCCCGAAAAGGGGTGAGCCTGGACCCCGAACAGGGGTCGTGAGATCCCCGTGCAGGGGTGTGGATGAACCCCGAACAGGGGTGAGCTTGGACCCCGAACAGGGGTCGTTAGAGCCCCGCACAGGGGCGTCCGATGAACCCCGAAAAGGGTGAGCCTGGACCCTGAACAGGGGTCGTGAGAACCCCATGCAGGGGTGTGGATGAACCCCGAACAGGGGTGAGGATGAACCCCGAGCAGGGGTGAGCCGGATCCTCAAAGACAGAGGCAGAGAGAAAGAAAGAGAGAGAGAGAGAGAGAGAGAGAGAGAGAGAGACAGCGAAAATAATTAACGAAGCAAGGAAGGAAGCAAGGAAGGAAGGAAGGAAGCAGGGAAGGAAGCAGGGAAGGAAGAAGGAATGATAAAGATGAGGGTGTGACTGTAGATGCGAGGAATGAGCAGGCAGCAAGGAGTGATGTGAGGGAAGGAAGAGGCAGGAAAGTCATGCATGGATTCAGTATCTCTCTGCTCACTTTCCGTCTGTCGCCGGCCAACCAGGCTGAGACAGTCTGCGCATCGAGAGCCTCGAAGAGCCCCGGCCTAAGCCACACCAAGACTTGACTGCTGCACCGTCGGTTGCTTCCAAGCTCAACATGTTGGACTGCAGCAGCTTTTCATCTCAAGATTCAAGGAAATCGCACCGTTTTTTCTTGGCGCCACTAGCGCCATGAATGAGCAAGTGTACACCGACGCGGAATGGGCGGCTTGGCGTCGAAGTCAAAACCCTGCAGGAAGCCACCAAAACCCTGCAGGAAGCCACGACGACACAGAGACGGACCCAACGAAGCAAGGCTTCAAAAAGGAACTCCGACCCCTTCCGGATGAATGGAAAGTTGAGTGGAAGAAAGCTGAGAAGAACAAGCAGCACTCAGCCAATGACTTCAGCGGTATCAGGCGCCTCTGCAACAGAAGGTTGCAACAGATGTACAACCAATGGAAGAATGAGGTGGAGCTCACGGAGAAGCAGGATTCGGCTATCAACAAGCTCGCCATCTTGACGGATAACAAGGACCGCATGGAAATCGATCGCTTGAGGGAGGTTGAGAAGGAAGCGATTTGGACGAAGAAAATGTACGAGACGAAGATTGCGGACGACAATAAGAAGCACGAGGCCGAACTGGCAGCTGTAAAGAAGAAAAGCGAGGACATGCTGGACGAACTGGAGAACACGCATGAGAGAAACAACCAGGAAAGGGCTAAGAGGCTGTCCATCACGGAAGATACGTACAGGTACAAGTTCGAGGATAGCCAGAAGGAGATGAAGGTACTGACTGCCATGTATGAGAACAAAATCAAAGAGATGAACGCCGAGCACCAGGCACAGATGGCGAAAGAGAAAGAAGAGAACAAGAAAAAGTTCGACGAGAAGGTTTCCAAAGCCCAGACGGACATGACAAACAAGTTCAAGAGCAGGTTGAAGAGGCTCGAGGATGCACAGGTCAAGTACAAAGAGAAAGTCCTCACTGCAACGGGGCTTTGGAGACAGACACTGGCAAGGAAAGAGGATGAGGTCCTGCGGCTCCGGCTACGACTCCGCTGGCAGGAACCCGCGAGCTCGGCGCAGCAAGACAACGAAGAGAAGCTCAAGGACAGTAAGGCTTGGCCCGACAGTTCATTTGTCAGTTGTTCAGTCAGTGAACTGCGCATCTCTGACAGGAGAGTTTGCATCCCACGTCCCCGACGGTCGTTTTCACCCCGACCTCTCCCGCACGCAGCCCGAGCCTTGGTTTCATCACCGCAACCTTGTGCGACCCCAACTTCGCACGTTCCAGGTAGTGACGAGTCCGACTCTGACTTCGATCGGGAAAGAAAGCGATCCCGCTCGCCCAGATCCGACAGGACGGATTATCGCAGTAAGCAGTGAGACGGAATAACGGATTTCATAACGTAGCTGATGGCTCTGATCGTGACATCCCCATGGATTCGAGTCTTAACCAAAACAATCTGACATCTAGTGATTCTGAATCCGCTTACAGTTTCAAGAACACGACGAACTCCATGGTTGATGCGGCGGAACAGGGGCATGGGCCCGGTGGCCGTGTGAAGTTCCTAGAAAGACTTAGGACTTCTGACTGGATGGGTCATGAAGCCAAGAGCAGCATCGGAAAAAGTCGCATGCATCAGGGACCATTCCTGCATGACAACCCCGCCTCCCCCCCCAAACCACCCACCACGAACCGGTCCCCCAACCAATTCCCGCACCCCTGATTCACACCCACCCACCGTCACCCAGCCACCTAACCGCCCCACCCAACCATCAACCACCCACCGAGAAACCCACCCACCCCCCCCAACCCCCCTGTGCTGGGCGGCCTGTTCGGTGCTTGCACTTAAGTGACAGACACTTCTTAAACACGGTGGGTGGTGATGTCTCTGACACGAAAGGTCAACGTATTCCTCGAGACCTACAAGCAGGACCGACTGCCACATGGAAGATCCGCAACAGCAAGAGCGACATTGTCGCTCTTGCTGTTGCGGATGTGTGGTGCAGGTCGAAAGCGACACGACCTGCACTAAGGTGCAAGAAGGCCTTGACGGTGGCTACATCATCCCAGAAGGTTCATGGTGCAGGACTGGTAGGTAACCGCTCCTGCACCTTGAACCTACTGGGATGATAAAGGGGACATGCTGACTGGAGGCTGGGAAGTGGCACGTCTTGAGCTCGGCGGTGATGTCTCTAGCACGAAAGGCCTACGTACTCCTCACCTAGAAGCGCGACGGACGAGCACACCAAAATGCTCACTGGAGGCTGGGCAGTGGCACTTTTAAGCTCGGTGCTTCAGACGGACATGACAGTTTCAGGAACAGTGCGGCATGTGCAGTCCATGGCTGTGTGATGCTGTGAGTGTGCGCCCGTCTGACAGCAGAACTATCTCAAGATTCCCAAAGGAGTACACTTTTCATAGCCCTTTGCATCATGGTGGAGCTCACGGAGGTGTTGCTCGCTTTGGCAATTGTAGCCATTGGCTACATGTACAGCATACAGCAGAACCAGCAGAACAAGAGAAGGGCCAAGCATGAGGAGGACAGCGGCAGCGAAGAAGAGATCAGGCCCAGGAGGAGGAAGGCCAGGGCCAGTCTCATGGAGGAGGACAGCGGCAACGGGAGGTCAGAACGCAATAATGACAAAAAGCATACGGCCACAGCACAACCACAAGATCCAATAGAACCAACACAGCAGGAAAGCAAGCCCAAAGATGAAGCTGGCAAGGATCCGCCAAAGGAAGCCAAGGATTTGGAGCCCGAGAACTTCCAGGAACGTGCAGAGGCCGCGGTCCAACGCATGGTGGCCGCCGTTCACACTATGCACGGATGTTTGCAGAGGGTTCAGAGCTCCGAGACGGAAATTTCCTCGTTAGGGGACAAGATGAAGAACATCCTCTTGGAGATAGCCGAGCTGAGACAGAAGCAAGAGGAGCACGGGTCGGAGCTTGGCAAGCTACCCGACATGGTCGTCGCTCTGGGGTCAGACCTCAAGAGTCTGACCAGCAGAAAAGAGTCCATGGAAGGGAAGCTAGCGGAGATTACGGACTTTTTGGAGAAGTATGAACTAGCAGACCCCAAAAATGACACAGATACGACGAGCACAAATGCCGACGGGGAGAGCACGCACCCCGACAGCCAGCCGGAACAGACTCAAGCGGAGGACCAATTTACAGTCTTCTATGCTGAAGGATGGCAGGGGCTGTTCAACAAAAGAATACAGGCATACAGGTGCAAGGGAGGTTGTGACAACCCACCAATAAAAGGAAG